GGAAAAGCAAGTCCAATAGGGGAAATCGACATGCTTGATGGTGTAGGGTGGCTAGGATGCATCAGACACCATACGTGGTGGGTCAGCTCCTATCCAAAATCAGGCAGCATAGAGTACATTTCTTTTGATGTGCAGTAGGAGGAGGGTCTCAACCATCTTCATCTCAATACCAGGAAGCAGAAGGGAAAAGCATTGTCTGTTCCATCAACCTAGGTAGAGCACAAGTGCAGAGCCAGAATACCAGGCCACCCAAGAACCTGACATTTGATTTGGTCAAAAGATAGGATGGGGGAGCACAAACATGGTGGGTCAACTCCAGTCTGAAACCAGGCAGCGTTGGGAATTTTTCATCTGGTTTGAGGTAGGAGAAGAGTCTCTAACAACTACATGTTTAAGGACTTATGTTGTTTGGTCCTGCACTGATCCAAAACCCAAATGCCCGAGAATCAACATTCAGGTGGCAGTAGGGTGAGGTAAAGCCAGCTGGGGGGGTGGGGGTGAACTGCATGTGGTGGATCTGTCCAGTCCAAAACCAGGTGGCATTGGGAATGATAGAATACCATTCCGTAGTAGGAGGAGGGTACACACCATCTATACCAATAGAACACCACTGCTCTACTCTCTACCAAGTGGAATTGGTCACACTCAGGAGGAAGCCTCCATGGTCCACCACCCCAACAGATAGGAACTGGAAAGTGGCAAGGATTACCATATGACACTAGAAGGGAAGGAAATATGATGGGGAATCCAGAGGAATGCAACACCTTAAGACTGTGCAATGTGTGTGACCAAGAAAATCCTATTTTAAAAAGCAGGCCTGTCCCAGTTTATTCAACTAGGACTGGATGGATGGGGAGCAATACCGACACAGCTTTACTCATGATAGTCCATGAGTTGGTACAGTCTGGAACAGACTTTATTTATGAAACAATACACTGTATGAAAATCTCATGGAGTCTTATGGAACACCCCATCTCACCAGTGAGCTCTACAGACCTTAAAGGTCACATGGTGTAAACTTAAAGTTAAGTATACCCTGGAAGGCACTGCTGGCCATTCACAGGATCCAGAGATGTGGAAATGGACCACTGTAAAGATAAGAGATATAGAAAAATGAACTTACCCATTCAGAGCTGGGAAGGGGTATGGAAAAAGGTGATGGGAGGAAGTTGATATCCCAAAGAAGAAGAGACATCCAGATGATGAAGATAATGGAAGTGAGCTGCCAGAGAAACAGGAAGGTGTCAGATGTGGTGAGAGGAGAACTGAAATAGTCAATGTGAATCTACATCCAATGAAGCATAGGCTAGATGGATGAACTGTTGTAGCAATCCTGTAAGGTTAATGGAAGAAATGTCTTGAAGAGATGAGGAATTTCATAGAATAAATAGACAGGAGCATGAACCATGATAAGGAACAGTGTGAGCCAAATAACAGTGAACTATACGGGCATGGACAAAGAAAATTATGGGGAGCAGATTAAAAATAAGAAATGGAAGTGAATGTGCTGTCCCCTGCATGAGCCACAGATGTTTATGGGAGAAAAGCATGATCAGGATAACAAAGAATAGAAGAAAGATGGAAAAAAATACAGAAAGCAGCAATGGTATACATATCTCCTGCAGCCACAGGCAAAAAATTAAGAAATAGGACTTAAGTGTAAGATGAGATGATACAAGGAACAAGTGACTAAAGGGTCAAGGAGAGGAAGGGCAAGTGTGTGTAGAACAGCCTTCAGGTCTCAATCAGAAAGTACTGCAGGATGAGGAGGATGAAGGTGGCAAAAATAATGAAAGAGCATAGGAAGGATAGGTGAGGGGAACGCATGACGATAATGGGAAAATGGGCCAAGAGTGTGGACACAGAGACAGCAAGACTGAATGTCCCCCTAAGCAAGCCCTACTGACTCTGAGCAGTGGAAGGACAGATGGAAACAGAGGAAAGGGAAATGGTGACAGAGAAAAAAGAGGAAACAGGAGACACAGAGGGGCAGAGAAGGAGCATAGGAGAGATGGTAAACCAGTGTGTATAAGGAATAACATCAGCTTGCAGCTCCAACACATGACACCAGAGAATCAAGCACACCAGTAAAATCACAAAGGCATGTGAGATAAAAGGCAGGTAAAAAGCAGTTGAGTAGCAAGGGCATCATACCTCAACAAACTCCAGCAACAGATCGACCAAAGATGAAGTGATAAGGCCAAAGAAGATAAACATATCACTGTAGAAAAGAGAAGTGAATAAGCATTTGCCAAAAAAACCCACACAGGAATGAGGGTTGGGTAACCTAAGCCTAAGAACAAGGAACAAAACACTGAGGATCTGACCCGCAAGTCTGAAGACTCCAGAGTTTAGGTGTCAAAGAAAGATAATACAGCAAGAAGTCAAGCCTAGTCATATGAAATTAGAAATGAAGCAGGATGAAGCACGCATGCCTAAAGTAATGGTAAAAATAATTGAATATGGACATGTATATCTGGATAGGAAGTAAAACACATGAAAGGAAGAAGCAGGGAATGAATTAAAAAGAAAAGGAAAGAAATATACCTGAGAAATCCAGTCCAAAAATTATGATAAAGGCTAAGGTAAAATCAAGACAGCATGGGTATAGGATTAGTCCAAGGTAGGTGGTGGGAAAAATCAGCAAAATCCCTTCCATCATGAACAAACATAGGCATATATCAGAGACAAAAGAAGGCTCAGGCCTCATGAAAGACTCCACCACCCTCTGCACAAAAGCCATCACTTCTCCCAAGAGACAAAGACAAACTCGAAGCCAATAGTTGTTAGAAGAACATGAACAATGTTGTTTCACACCAGACAAAGTGGAAGATACTAACACATATGACATAATAATGTAGAAAGAAAAGGCAGGTGCAGAAAATGGTGGAAAGCAAAATCCAATAATTAATACTTCCACAATAGGTAATGTCTTTATAGATACTTCCACTAAAAAATGCCTATATCTGAAAATTTCATAAGTGAAAAAAGATATTGTTGCACACGAATGCAAAATCAAGAAGTGATGATTGTATTCTTCAGTATATAGGGAGTCAGCTGTGCTAGGAAAGTTGTCACATGCTACAATGCAGCTATATCATGTGGTGTTAGGTGGGAACCTCAAAACTAGCGGTGAGTGAACATTGTGCATATAGAGGGTAGCACAAATCGAGGAAAGCTATTATGTGAGAAGAGATCCGGTTTCGTATCAGAAGGTTACAGTCTCTATAGTATTATATCCCCTTGTAACAGTAATACATTAATTATATGTTAGAAGTACTTGTTCTTATAATAATGGTTTACTAGGAACTTTGTACAGTTTTTTACTAAAGTAACTGTAGCAATATTCAACTACAAATGCTATTAGAAGTAAGGTTTTAAAGTTAAAATATAAAGTGTTGGCAAAAACTTTAATAAAGCAATAAAAATATAATTATTATTTCAAGTTAGAGTGATTAGTGCACTTAATTTACTGGGTTATCATTAAGCTAGTTGTTCTATATCAATGTATGGCTATAACTCAAACTGAATAAACAAAAGGTTATAATTTTTGGTAGATGAACGAAATGAGACAATGGTAAAGGTGATTAAAGTGCTAAAAATAATTGTTACCATGGGGTACTTACTATGAAAATTGCACAATCATAGTATACTAATAATGTTTTATGTGATTACCAGCCATACTCACCATTACTTAAATTTATGACAGAAGGTGATACACAGCTGAGCAATATTTCCAACATTTACATTTGGTAATGTATGTCAAATTTGTCAAAGTAGCTGGTGCCTCATTATACACACAGCATAATCAATGTTAACACTGTCAAGCATGACGTGTCTACTTACTGTCATAATAAACTAATCAAGAGAGAATCTTTACATGTAATAAACAGTTACTCCATTCTTTGTGTTCTTTAGGCATCTTTATGATCATTGCATGTAATTATAATTATCGATTATAAGATATAGCAAGAATATATTATGCATATAAATTCTTCATTACAATGTCATTCATACATACACGTTTTTAGCTAGCTTTGGTTTTTCATGCAATATCTGTGTTCTGTTGGTAGTCATGTGGAGCAGTGCAGTGTATAAAGTCATGATTTGGAAACATTTCTTTTCTAATCCTAATGCAGCTCAAATTTAAATAAAATACTGACTGCAATACATGAAAAGTTTCATTAAAAAATAATGAAAAATAGCTTTAAAATTAAAATAGTAAAATTTTTTATTCCACTTAGAAGAGATATTTATTGTACATTAATGAGAAATGTTTATGAAAAGTTATTAAACTTAAATACTACAATTTTTGAGATCAACCTCCATAGATTTAAGTGAATGGTTAGTTTTTTAATGTATTTCAGTAGAGCACATCATATTAAAATAAAACTATTCATATTATACTTGCAGTATCAAATGTTTAGATATAACTTCTACATGTATGTCACAAGTTATAAAACACATATTTACATACAGCCTCTTGGTGTGCTAGCACATCATTACTAAACTGACCTACAAAATGTCTGCTCTGTACCAAACTGCCATTCAATTATTCAACAGTAATGCATACATGCTAATAACGATTCTTCTTTTAATTTTAATTTTATTTATCCATGTATATAACATGCATTCACAATGCAACACCATGTAAAATTTGTAATGCATTATAATACAAATGCACAAATAAGGCATAAAAAGTAGTATGTAGATGGGAGGATTCATAGCAAAAAGTTTTGATTAATCTCTTCCTCTAGTATACTTGTATTTCACTCGTGGAAATTTTAAAAGACTAACAGGGGAGAGGAGAAATAAGTATAGATGTATTCTATAGGAATAGAAAATCAAGCACCAATATTGTTGGTACAAAGTTGTAAGCCATTATATAAACTATACATTAGCTACCTTCCTCTTGTCATTCTATAGAGATTATCTTTTCTTTGTAACATACACTTTAATATAGGAACATACTATGTAACTTCACACAAGCCCAAAACAGATACTTATGAAAGACAGTTTTATTGAGTAGCTTTACTTATACATGTTCTTTTCCTGTTCATATATTTGTTTCTCAAAATATGAAATTTTATTTCCACAATCAATTTATTCACTGCATGTACAACAGGCTTGATTGTAATAAACATGTCATATTCACTGCAAATAGTAATCTACAATTTAAGTTATAATATATTATACCAGACAATAGATATAAACAGCACAATGTAGAAGTTTAAACTTAGAAATGACATACAATATGAACGAAGAAGTATAATCAAACTAAGAAACAGGACTTCAGAATGCATATACATTTTATTACCTATACGTTTTATGCACCAAGTGTATTAGCCATTTTCATACATTTTATGGTTTAACTGAAGAAAAAATGCTAAAATAAAAAAAACTAATCTTTGGATAGTGGCAAATTGTGTTACATGCAAAAGTACTAAGAGGGAGAGGAAAAAAGTTACAATTATTATACTTAATTACTTAGTTTTTGAACAAAAAGCAAATTTTAAAAAATCCTTTTATATAGTGAATTAAAAATAAAAATTAAGTCTTCAGAATATTTGTCTCCATATTAGTACACATGATTTGTCTCTCTACATACAAAAAATAGTCTACAATACAAGTTTTGATAAGTCATCAGCAAAGAGAAATAATATGCCAAAAAATTATGAGAGCAGACATACACTAGAAAAGATTACATAAGCCCTACAGTTTTAAAATTACCCCTTTTTTTCACTAAATCATGGGACATTATTTTTTTACTACATATCTGTAGTTGTATGTTATTTAAATAATACCACTTGGCACAATTTTATTCAAATACAAGTAGCTGCATTATTTGACATGCTAAGGATTTTAATTTACCTAAGAAATAGTGGTTAAATGTACAGGAAGAAAAAATGTATTTATGACTTCTTATATTCTATCCTTTCCACTTTGACATCTTCTCCAATCAGTTGATATACGTAGGTTACTACTGTTGAAGACTGAATATCCATTAAAACAAAAGACGGAATGATGTTGCTGAAAAATTTTAATATCACTGAATTCTCAAGCAGTAAAAGTGAAATACATTATACATAGTTAGGTCAAAAGATGAATGTTAAATTGTTTTAGTATTTTCTGAAACATAAATGCTAAGTGCACTGATTCATATTTTGTTTGTATATCAACCAATGTGCTGAAGTTACATACTTTAAAAAAAATAGTTTACAGTTTATCTGACAGTAGAGACAAGAACATAGTCTATAACAGTACAGCCAAAACATTTTTTAGCAAATGCGGAACAAAAGCTTAAATATCAAAGTAAGACAATTCCAACAATTATTTGCTTGTGCTATAAGCAGTACTTTCATTTCTACCACTTGAAGTATAAATATACTTGAACAATAAGTTTACATACTGAAAAGATACTCTGCTTACTTGATGCGACATTGACCTACACATGACAAAACAATATCAAAATAAAACAGACTGTTGTTATCTCTATTGCTTTAGTATGTGATTATTAAAATTTTCTAGTGAAACAACATAAACCTAAAAGGAAAGTTGGCGCCCGTGAGACAAAAAAGGTACTCAAGAGAGAGAGAGTGTTTAAAGAAAGAAGTAATCCATCTCAGCTACTAGATGAGCCAAAAGTTTTCTTGTGAAAGGGAAAAAAAACAAGGCAAACGGTTGATCTCTTAGAAATATGACTTCTCTGCAAGCTGCCTGAAGAATAATGACTAATTTTTTGTGTAGCAAATCCTGGAAATAAATGCAACTAAACAAACTGTTAAACAAAAACAAATAAATGTAGAAAATTAACAAAAAGTATTTTTCTCTAAATAGTGATAAATGTTTTTTAACTTTAAGGATTGCTATCTGTTTGCAATCAAAATAGCCAATACGAGGCTGTTTACAGTGAAGGAATGAAGTAATAAAGTGACTAGTCTTTATAGTAGAATAATTTCTTAGAAAACTTGCTGAAATATAAAATTAGACTATCAACATGCTTATGCGTATAAATGCTAGCAAAGTATCAAATAATAATATCAAATTGGTATATTCCAAAATATCATACATCAGTGAATTCAGTGAATTTTGACTTGGATATTACATTTTAAGTTATACTAACCAAATAGTCTGTAGGGACTGTTAGTGGGCTCCTGTCATATTTTGATTCTTTGATTACAAAATTGTATAATCAAGGTTAATTTGTGTTAACTGAATTATACTGTTTTCCTATTAACAAAACAGTTTTGCTGTCTGAACAGAGACATGTTCACAGTGTATCATTAAGTTATGATGATATACAATCAATATGGCAGCCCTTGCAGCCTTGTGCATTGCAGAAAGTAGTTTATCAAACGCAATTTAGGTCATGATTAAATTTCTAAAACTTCTTGTTTGTCTGAATTTGCTGATAATTAATATCCAATTTTGTAACTCACAAATATCTGATGTTTGTATACTACAATATGTTTCAAAAATGTTGGATTACTGCACATGTAGCCTAACCAGTCTAAGCCAATCAAAATTATCAAAGCCACAGCAGTCAACAAGGTCACATGAAATTATCTGTGAGTTTGTATGTGTATATAAACAACACCTGTTTGTGTGCCTAATGCTGTGAGGAATAATAACAGGACCCAATTTCTAGGTAAAAACAAGATTTGGTTTGTTTTGAATTTCGTACAAAGCTACATGAGGGGTATCTGCTCTAGCTGTCCCTAATTTAGCAGTAAAAGACTAGAGGAAAGGCAGCTAGTCATCACCACCCATCATTAACTCTTGGGCTGCTCTTTTATCAATGAATAGTGTGATTGACTTTCACATTAGAACACTTCCACAGCTGAAAGGGTGAGCACGTTTGGTGGGACAAGGATTCAAACTGTAGCCCTCAGATTGCGAGTCAAGTGACCTTGTCACCTAGCCATACTGAGCCAAAGATAAAAGGACCTGCAGTGGTCCCAGAACATTAAGAAATAAGTCAGGCTTGATGGAGCTTAAACAAAAACAAACTTAAGATAATTGCCTGTGCTTAGAGGCATTTATCTGTTCAGTCATGAAAATGTATATATTCTGATGCATTTTGAGAGTTTTTGGCCTTGCTTGAAAAACTGAAAATAAAGTATTCAATTCTTTTTCTTATAATGAATCAAAATAGACAGGTCTATGTAAGTTCTATTAAAATTGAAAACTGAGTTTGTGTGGATAGAGGACAAATTAAATTATCCTTATTAAGTGTTTCAGCCAATTTTTATCCATCAGCACTGCAAACATTATTTCACATTTACTTTGATCACACTTTTAATTTATTCCTGATAGTTTTCAACTCCTTAACCACAACTTTTATGGGAAGACTTTGGGTACCATTAATCATAATACTTACAGTACTCCTAATCATGTTCTCATAAATCCTGTAGTACTCTGCTTACATAACAAAAGCATTATTTTTGGTTATAAAGTTAAATAGGATTGGAAAAAATAGTACTGAAAAAAATTGAAACTAAATATGTTTAGAAAACATAATATACAAGCCAATGATATAAGCTCTTATTCAATAAAATAGTTACAAAACCAGTATTAATGCTATAAGATTAAATGTTAAAAACAAAAATGACTTGTTCTTCGCTAATGGTGTAATTAAAAAAGTTTAAGAATTTACCATTGATAAGGTAAAGGTTGGAAGGTGAGACAAAAAACAAGAGGGAATCCTCAATAGTTGTGGCACTTAAAATTCTTTTAGCCAGGATAACAATAAATAAATTTACAAGACCTTGGGTGGGTTCAAATACATAACTGAAAACAGTTTGATCTCTTGAGTTCAAAACTGTAATTAGATCTTAAATTGATCAAAAGATGATGGAGCTATTAGCTAAAAGTTTGTACTTTAAAAAAAACAAAAAACAGACATTCTGTGAGCAACTATGCCATGGATAAAAATTAGGTAATAAATAAAGGAAGGTGAAACAAAGTTCATAAAGAGTAAAAGATATACAGATTAAAAGCAACAAGTGTACAATAAGAAAAATCCAGGGATTAAAAGCAATACATGATAAGAAGAAAAAATTTACCTATCTAATGGATTATAGGCTCCTGTTGCTGAACCTGGATTGATGTAAAATTTATTGTCATGTTCATAAGCTTCAAACTTATGTGTGTGACCAGATATAAGAATGTCCACATCTAGCTGAAGCTGGATAAGTGACAAACTATGTGGATCTCCCCATGGAACAACTTGATGGCCATGACAGAGTCCAATTCGAAACTGACCCACAGTTACTACTTTTTGTTCAGGATAGCTCGGATTCTAAGCAAATGACAAAATAATCTGTAAGTCAAAATCATGGAACCCCCCTCTAACAGTGAAACATGTTAGAAACATATAGTTTCTTCAAATCCTTAGATTCCTTAAGCTTTTAATTTGACAAAATTATAGAAAAAAACAAATAAATACATATTTATGTATAATTTAGAAAATATCTTAACATATTCTAAAATATATGTACTTATCAAGCTTAAGATTCACACAGTCCTTAACTTGAAAGAAACCATGAAAGTTAAAATTTTCCTACACTGAAAATATACTTCCAACAGGTGCTTACTTCCACTCATATACATAGCTGTTATCGTTCAATGCTGCCTTCTACTTGGAAAATTTTTTTGCACACCACAAGCCTTTCATTCCCATGTACCCTCTTGATTCACATGGTTTAATTGATTCACACATGTAAATATTTTCATACAACAAACCTCCACCAATAGACGTGCCTCACACAAATGTGATTCATGTGATTCCCACTATGCTATTCTACTTATCTTCATTTTTAGGCAGAAAACTAAGCACCTGTCAGAAATATATTTTCAGTGTAGGAAAATTAAAACTTCAGACTACATACACAGCTAGAATTCCACATTGAATAGGTGGAAGGACCAGTGCAAGGTAGAAAAGAGAAGCATCATCCGAAAGCAAACATATAAAAGGTGAGACTGAGTTGGGCAGACAAAAATGAGGAGCACATCTCATGTGGGTAAAAGAAAGGATGTGCCCCAAGGTGTAGAGTGGCTAGGGTGCAATGGACTGTACACTGCCAGTCAACTGTGTCCAAAACTCTATTGCCAGGAAGGATCATCCATGCGGGGTAGGAAAAAGATCATACTATCAGTAAGTCAACTTCAATCCAAAACTCAACCACCAGGGACTAACATCCAAGTGGGGATAGGAAAGATGATCATACCCTCTTCACCTAAGATCAGATAACTGAAAGGAAAATTATCACCAACGACCGGTAATCAGAATAAAATACAGATATATCCCTTTCAAATCAAACATTCCAGAACCACCCCTAACACAGTACCAACACCAGCATAAAGACATCAAAGGGTGCACAAAACGAATAAGTGAAGCAACGACCAAGTGCATACATCATGACCCACATCACAGGGGAATGGACCTGAGATGAACTGAGTAAAATAACTTATGTTGATTTGTTCAGCTCTAAATCCACAAATCAACCACTGGGAATCAATATCCATGTGGGAGGTAGGATGAAGGATCCTAATGAAAGGGGTGAACTGCCTTGACACCAGCACACTACATGTGTGAGCACATCATGTTGATTGGTTCAGCTCTAAATCCAAAACTCAACTGCCAGGAACTGACATCCATGTGGGGGTAGGATGAGAGATCCCAATTTCATGACCTGTATGATAATACATTGTGATTGGTTCAGTTCTAAATCCAAAACTCAACTTCCAGGAATCAACATCCATGTGGGGGTAGGGTGAGAGATACCAATCACACTACATATGAGAGGACATTATGTTGATTGGTTAAGCTCTAAATACAAAACTCAACTGCTGGGAACCAATATCCAGGCAGGGGTAGGATGGGGAATCCCAATCATGTCTACACCACTGCCCTACCCTCAACTGAGTGGAAGACAAAACCCTGATGTGAAGGAAAGTGCTTTGTGATGAAGATAATGGGAGATGAACTTACTGGGTGTGGTCCACATGCCAGCTTGAAGAATCTCCTCCAACGGACAACGAAGACAGGAAGAAAAATGTGAAATGACAAATTTGATGGGAGGACACATGGAACAAAGTATGGGAGGAAGAAGGTAAATAGGAGTAGGCCAAATGGACCAGAAGGTGGACCCAATTTGTAAGAGTAGATGGGGAAAGATCATGAAGGAAGGAGGACTGCCAGGGAATGAAAATATGGTTGCATGTACTCCAGAGGGTAGCTGTACATGCAATATAACACCGTAGGGCCCTGACAGGACACAGCAGTCTTTTGGTGTCTGAACGAGGGTAAAGATAGGAAATAGGAGAAAAGGAAGAACAACCTTCTCGAGTTGTCTCATTCTTGGGGAGAAAGGAATGATCAAGATAAAGGAGAAGATTAGGAGGATGATAAAAGGTACGTGAAATGTCAACGGCAAATAAATCCAATCGGCAATGTCTGCAGGCCAAAAGGAGAAGGAAATAAGTCTTAAAGGACAAATGAAACAAGGAACACGAGGAAAGTGGTTCAAATGGAGGGAGAGGGCATGGAGGACCACATTAATGTCCCAATCTGGAAGAGGAGGATATCTGGGAGGCCTCTGAATCCAGAAGGGATGCATGAGGATAGCGAGAAGAGGGGAAGTAAAATAAGTGGCGATGACCTCGATGAAAAGAAGTATGTGGATTTGAATGATTGGTACAGGATGGAAGAATAAAGGACAGGAAATGGGAATAGATGGCATGGAAGGCTCTGGTTGAGACAAATGGGCCACAAAAGTTGAAAGGGTGAACTGTTGTCAGGCAGATGTTACCAATGGCTCGATATCATCAGGGAAGTAACGGAGCAAGACATAAGTCATTGAGATAAGTGGAAAGTAAATTAACACTAGACAGAATGGAGCCCCTATTAATAAGGTCCCAATAACAAAAAAAAACACATATGTAATGACAGATCCAAAGTAGAAGCGAGAAGGTGTAGGGTATCGGCAGAAAATCCCTTGGGATTTCTGTAAAGAGCTTCCAAGAGGAGATGTATAAAAGACAAATACTGGAGAAGGGTATTGAGGGTAATACAAAGGTGAGAATATTAGGCATGTGTCAGATTAACGTTAGATTCAGAAGCCACACCCCAAACAGGTAATAAGAAACCCAACAACTGGTGATCCAAAAACAAATATTCCACCCAATGGTAAAAAAGGGAGTACTGATCAGAGGCTCTCAGGGGGGCATGAAATACTGATCTTTTCATCTAACTGGGAAAAAAGTGATTCGTATGGATCTGAATATCAGGAGGGGGAAGATAAAAATGGTTGAGAAGAATGCTCATGCAACAAAGAAGGATGAGAGGAATAAGAAATAGGGAAAAGAGACAAACATCACAAACCTGAGATACAAAATTCGTGAAAGCTAAAGACGGCCTAGATGAATCGTCAGGCTGGAACTGAGAAGGTACGGCAAATTTGGGAGGAGGAAAAAGACAATAAAAATTGTCATCATGCTGAATAATCTCAAAAGACACTGAAGGTGCTTGGGCGACGTCAGGGGGATAAAGGGTAACTCAAGTAGCATTCAATCTCCCAATGGACAAAATCAGAAAGATCCACACTTGGGTTGCTCACACCTGAGGCCTGAGATAGAAGACTGGTCATTGGTGTGATCCTTGAAGTGGTAATGTTGACTTTGACGATAATAAACTGGGAAAAATGTGGTAATATACAAACAAAAAAAATAGAACCACTTCAAATGAAAATCAAAAATGTGTCATACAGGAAGTGCAAATCGCAAAGGAAAATGTCTGTACTTGAAAGCTGCCAAATGAGAAGTGAAGGTTCGGTAGAGAAGTGTAGAGGGAGACACATGCATCGCGTGAGCATACTATACTACTATTGGTTAATAGAACATGCATGATAATTTTCATGAGACACACGTTGGAATGTACAAATTACAACAAGGGGGAGAGCAAAGCTTGTGGCATGTGTAAAGAAAATGTTCACATATAGAGAAAGAAGCACTGAATGAGAATAGCTAATCTTGTGAAAGGAGGTTAGTACTGTATCAAAAAACTTGTTTCAAAACAGTAACAAGGCTAGTTTCAAACTATTAACACATATAAGGTTATGTATTTTAAAAAAAATTCCAGGAGCCATCACATAATGTTAGAAGCCGAAACTGTGTAAGGTAGGATTGTACTCAAGATCGTACCCTTGTAAAAGCCTAAACGTGTTATTGTTTAGGGTGTTTTAACTGTAATCATAGAGTTTAACTTTGAATAACAGTAGATAATGTAGATGTTTTATTATATCTGCTGGCCCATACTAATTATATTTAGTTTGATTAAATTTTTTTCTTGGTTGCATACTAAAATTAGTTGAATGTTTCAAACTGACAGATAGCCATATAATGTTCTTTATTTTTATCAGTTTGTGTATTCATGTGTATTTATCAATTTAAATTTGTTATTATGTATTGTGAAAATACCAATCACCAAACCTATGTACATTTAAAACAAATTTTTCATCAAATGCATCAGTACCTGAAATTCAAAATGCATAAATGTATGAGATGGGAGACTCGCAGGTTTTAACTGATTCAAAAAAATATTATATAACATATAAATACTGTACCTCATCAAAGTCTCCACGAACAACATGAACATCACTAGCTAAGGTCTTAAGGTAGTCGTATGATTCCTTTGTGCACAAATTCCCTGTACATAGGATATGATGGATTCTTCCTGGAACTAACAACTTTTTAAACTTGATTGGAAGACCTTGACATCGATGAGGAATGTGCAGGTCTCCAAGAACTAATACCAACTAAAAAGAATTTGCAAAATTTGAGTTCAAAACTGTCTTACAACACAAAATTACCTATAAGTATGGTAAAGAAATCATGCTTGAACTCTGTATTTAATATGTCCTCAATGGAAAAATACAAAAATTGATATAAAAAGCTCTGTACGTTAACATAAGGAATTATATATTATCAAAGTTATATCAAGTTCATGACCCATTATAATGTGAGACTTAGAATTTGAAGTCAGTCATCTTTATAGAGTAAATACATTGGCAATGTGTAAGTGAATAGCACAATAACCTTTATAGATTAGTTACACAATGATGACAGTATGGATTAGGCTCAATCTGGAAACCAATACGACCATTCGTGCCCCAATGTTTGAGTGACAGCAATGAAAGAGTGTCTCCATAATTAGACTGTAGTCAGCAGATGGTTTGATGTGATGATTTATTAAAACAAGCAGAAGTGGTCATGTTAAATTTTGGAAATCTTAGAACTTTGTTGGAAAAGTAGGTATAATGATTGGTAGAGCTGGGTGATAACTTAATTAATCAATATAACTTACTACCTATGAACATCAATTAAACTGATCAGTGCCACATAAAATAATAACTAATAAAAATTAATGTTTCTTTTTATTACTGTTTAGAATAACTCAAACTATTCAAGTAATTGGAATATTGCCATTGTGATTTTTTTTATTATCATTTTCAATTAGTTCAAGGTTGTTCAGCTTAATCAATTTGTGTCAAAACTCATGAAGATAATCAACTAATTGAGATTAGTGTTCTCAACTATTACTATTTTTGATTATTCCAACTATTCAAGTCTCATGTGAGGATAATAGATAAGTTGAATGTAATGAATTAATGAGCCTGAAAATTAATCAGTTATCAAATTCCACTAACTGCCCAGCTCTAATTTCACTGGTAACCTACTGCAGATGACCTGATAAGCTCTGTTACTGAGTAAAACATGTTGTCAGTAATGGATATAACAGTGTGTTTGAAATACTATTATGCAGTCTTCTTCTCGGGAAACACTACTGAATAAGGAATAGTGTTTGAAAATAGACCTAATACTATTGTCTTATGAAAAATATAATTTATTATAATCATGCAAAGCAAAAGGCACTCATATGATAGTAAAGGTGTGTATTGGTAGAAAGGCTCTTGGTTTTTTGCTCAATCAGCCTCTTAAGCTTTTCGGTTGTGTCTATGGAAGTACTGAATATAAGCTAAAGAAGGTTACTGTTCCTTCATAAAAATCTCTGGTTATGCCTCATTTACAGTATTTATGCTCAGTCTTGGGTTTCTTACTTTAAGAATGATAACAAGTTGTTGGAAAGGGTTCACAGGAGAACTACTAAAATTATGATGAATGGCTGTCATATGAGGACATATTAAGGTCCTTAAAATTATTTTCTCTTGAGAAAAGAAGGATCAGAGAGGATGCAATTGAAGTATTCAAGATTATAAAAGCAACAGACAGGATTAATATATTATATTGTTTCTTCTTTAATGGTAAAGGTGGTAGGGCTAGGGGGCATACATTTAAAACTTGGCAAGGTAGAAATTATCTGCAAGTTAGGAAATTTTATTTTCTGAACAGGGTGGTCAGCCATTTTAGTACATTGCAAAATGAGTGGGAGAGTACTAGGGCAGTCAGGCTTGGATATAATGAAATGATTATTTGATGAAATGAATAAAACAGTCACAATAAGCCAAGGGGACCTTGTTGTTCCTCAAATGAAAGCTTGTTGTATCAGCCTTCCCTTCTCCCCTCTCTTAAAATATTTAGTAGATTATTCACTGAGTATTTGTTAAAATGATCAAGAATAGTTCCATTTCCTAATATAAGTTATATAGTCAGAGACTATTTCAAAGTAAGGTATTTCAAATTTATTCAAAGTGTAATGCAAGACACTTGTGGAGTGATGGCCACATACAAACATTACAAAATTAGACCCGTGTGGTAATTTGCACAAAAGATTACTCCCCTGCTGTGTCAGACTTTCTCTGGAAATAAGCTTAAAAAGTCAAGTTTTTTATTTTGCCATATCATAGTCTATACCTATATATTAATGAAACATAAGTTCTTTTATGATCTGTTATTATATTTCTGCACAAAATATATACTTGATAAATAAATGTTACATATCTGGATTTATACATGGTATATATTATTTCAATGAAACTACATTAAAGAATAGGAATTCTTCAATGTTTATGACACATATTTTACAATAAATCTGATAGGGATCAGCACAAATAGCATTTCCATTGCCATCTAGTAAGCACTGATTGCAATACGTAATAACATGCAAATAATTAAAAATATAGTGAGAAATGGTTTGCCCGATTTAACTATTTTTTAAATGTAGAGGGTGCCTGAGTTACCTCAAGCAAGTCATGTAAGGGGGTAAAAATTTAAGTAACTACATTTTGTTTTCTTCAAGCTACAGTGCCTTGCAAGAGTATTCACCCCCTTCCAATAATGTCATATTTTGATGAAATACAAATACTGTAAACAATTTTTTAAATGAAATTGTTTTTATTTAAAACTCTAATGATTAGTCTCAACACTGTCATGTGTGAAGGAGGTTGAATATCAGAAAACCCTGCAAAAAAAATATGTAAATTGAAATTTGCCGACTGCATAAGCATTCAGCCCCCTAAGTCAGTACTTGGTGGAAGCACCTTTGGCAACAGTTACTGCTGTGACTCTTTTTGGATTGGTCTCTACCAGCTTTGTACAATGGGATGGTGTAATTTTTACCCATTCTTCCTGCCAAAATTGCTCCAATTCTGACAAGTTTGTTGGAGATTGTTGATGGACTGCAATCTTCAAGCCTTGCCATAAATTTTACATTGGATTCAAGTCAGGACTTTGACAGGGCCACTCCAGGACATTCACTATCTTCTTTTGAAACCACTACAGTGTGGCTTTGGCCTTGTGCTTTGGGTCATTGTCGTACTGAAATGTGAATTTTCTACCCAGTTTTAGATTTTTGGCTAACTCAAGCAGGTTTTCCTCTAGGATTTGCCTGTACTTGCACCATCCATCTTACCCTCAATCCTGGCATGCTTCCAAGTCCATACTGATGAGAAGCATCCCCATAACATCATGCTGCCACCACCATGCTTGACAGTTGGGATGGTGTTGATTGGGTGATGTGCTGTGTTGGGCTAACACCAGATGCAACACTATGAATTTAGACCAAAAAGCTTAATTTTTGTCTTGTCTGACAACAACACCTTTTGCCACATGTCTGCAGTATCATTTACATGCTTTGTCACAAATTCCATACGAGATTTATGATAATTCTTTTTTAGTAATGGCTTCTTTCTTACCACTCGCCCATACAGACCAGTTTTGTATAGGGACATGGATATTGTCAATGTGTAAACACCGATTCCCATCTCAGAAATGGAACTCTGCAAATCTTTCGAAGTCACTCTTGACTTCACGATGGCATCCCTAACAAGTTTCCTGCTTGCCTGGCTGCTTAGTTTGGAAGGGTGGCCTGATCTGGGTAGTGGCTGGGTGGTATGAAGCACATTCCATTTCTTAATGATGGAATTTACTGTACGCAAAGAGATAATCAGTGACTTTGAAATTTTCTTGTAACCTTCTTCTGATCTGTGCTTTTATACCACTTCATCCCTGACTTGTTTAGAAAGCTCCTTGGTCTTCATGGTTGGTTTATGAGTTGTGGCTTGAACAGATGCATTTACTCTGAAGTCAAGTCAAACCACTTTGATAAAACACACAGACAGAGACCTTTCACACTAATCTTTTGGACCTGAACTGATTTAGGGTTGTCACAGCAAAGGGGTTGAATACTTATGCAGTTGAGAATATTCTAATTTCCTTTGAAAATCTAACTTACTTATATAATATCAGTTGTTGTTTTTTAGGTTTCTCATTTTGTAGTAGATTGTGTAGATTCTAAATATAAAGTCCCATTTGAAAGTTTTGTGATTGGAAGCTCAGATGGCAACAAAATGTGGAAACTGCAGGGGGTGAATACTTTTGCAAGACACTATATATTAAGTGGCAAATTGTAGCTACAATTGATTGTTATCATGCTTTACACAAGACATTCACATGAGAGTAAAAGTGTAAATTTTGAAGCTTGTATATGCTGCTACTGTTTTACATTTGTTCATGCTACTGAGCTTTTAAACTTGTCAGTTAATACAATTGAAAAATGATGTCAATGAGTTTGAAAACATTTTATGAATAACTTATATTTTTCCTAGGACATGAACATAACACATGACTGTCCCATTCATCATTTCACCAAACACCCATCTGCCTACAAAATATCCAGCCTTGACTCCCCAAGTACTCATCATGCCCTTTTTTTGAACTCTCCCAATCCTGTTGCATCTACCACAACTAAAGGTAATCTATTCAAAAGGCTGATTACCCTGTTCAAAAATAATATTCCCATGATATACATATATAACCCATTCCAATGAGTGGTTTGATTCACCATCATGCTACTAATCCAGACTTACTTGTTTGAAAATATGATCTGCTGAGTACTGTAATTTTAAGTTATTCAAGCTCTTACCAGCACAGCAATATTTATGATAGAAAATATTATCCAACACAACTTTTATTCGCAATAGCTTAGGAAACAACTGGTGTGGAATTTGCTTATCCATAGCAGTTTTATTCTCTTATCATTAAATATGTTAGATACATACCTAGTGTTGCAACTAGAAAATATATTCATCCAAACATTAAGTTGATTCTATGAGTGGTCCAATTCACCACCAAGAACTTAATTAATACTTATTAATCTAAATAAAATATTGTTCATTATGTGTTAGACAAGTGTCAATTAGTTTCATAGGGGTAAATCAAACCACTCCTTAGATCAACTTAACATCTAGGAAAATAAATATTTACAATAAAAACATGTCCAGTTTCAGATTTTTTAGCCTTTACAATGCACATATTTTATGAAAGATGGTTTAGACCTATGGCTTCAGTGCACTAAGTC